TAACTGCCCCAGCCTTAGGACCACACAGACAATATCGACAAGCAGAAAACAAAACAGGAAAAAACACCCCTGAAAAAGTCAGGAGAGATACTGATGAAAGGGTTACAGCACTCACCACACACACTGGAAAAAGTCAGGATTTCTGAGTTTATGCTTTTGACACTAAAAAGTTTTGAAACAGTTTTTCTTTTTTTTTTTAAAAATAGTCAGCGGACACAGCCATTTTGTTCAGAAGGATTTGCTGTTGCGTAAGGTTCCTTCCATTTATGTGGAAAAAACAATTAAAAACATTATTTTGTTTAAACCTCCCCCCCGACACTCCTTTTCCTCTCCACGCTGACAAGACGGGTTGGCAGAGTTGGCCTTGCCAGGCACGATGCCCCGCCATGCCCCGTGCCTGACCCTCCCACCCTGCCGGCTTCGCTGGGGCAGTGTTAGTTATCCGCAGCCTTCTGCATCCTCTCCCGTTCCCTTTTTCAGTGCGGGTGTTGAGCTGAGTAGAGGCTTCCTTTAAGATCAGATGCCTTGATTGTACTATTTCCCTTCTGCATTTCATCGGAGTCATTTGAGGAACATATGCATTACTTACTTAGTGAAATTTTTGCTTTAAAATGGTATCAGCGCGTGACTCTCTATGTCCTTTGTAAAGACTCCTTCAGTGGCAGTGGTTGGCAATTAGTACAGGAGTGGGGACTCAACCCTGTCAACCTTCTACCGATTGTAGAAATTTCCCAACAAATTGAGCATTAGCAGCAGAATGGGTGGGAATTACAGGGCAAATTAAAAGAGGTGCCCCTTTGGTTCAAAAACCAGGGTTACGTCTACAAGATTTATGACATTAACGCTCCCTTGTGCAAAATACCAAGAGCCCCAAAGTACCAGAAAATTTGCTAGAGAAGGGATATTCCAGCCGTGCAGCCAGAAATGGCACACCGTTTTGTGCATCACGTCAGACCTTCACCTTCCGTCCCCCGGACTTGGCAAAAATTGGATACTCCAAAGAGGGTTTGGCATTTTCTAGAGGAAAAGCTGGTTAAAGGCAGTAAAAATGAGAGAGAATACTAGAAGCTTAGAGCTTCGTTTGGGAGCACGCCAGGCAATTCTTCCAATCGCAAACAGTGCTTATGTCCTCACCCTGTAATTCTAGTGTTGTAATGCCCTTTTAGTGTTTTACATGAGGCTGGATTCAGAGGAGAATATGTACTTGGACTTGTGGATATCATGAACAAGCGTGGTTGGGGTGTCAGCTTTTACGCTTGTATGTGGGCTTCAAGCTTGAGTTATTTTTTAGCCCAAAGCCAGCTAAAATGACCTATTTAATTTTCTACAGACAGCTCCTTAAGTCCTTACATCTCTCAGTTTCTCTACAAATGACAGCTTGAAAGAAAAAAAAAAAACATTAGAGCAATTCAAACTTTCACAGCTCCCGTAGCAAATGGAACTTCATTCAACAGGAGAAGAAAAAGCAAGTTTGTCCAGGCTCCCTGGGAAGGGCCCCTGAATTTCCCAGAGCTGCTGCGTTCCCGAGTGCTGTGCTAGGAAACTGTCTGCATCTGCCTGGCTGCTGACACCTGGGTATAAGATTTTAAAAGAGTAGTGGTGGCTTAGGCAACTGGATGAGCATCGCTGTATGTGCACACATATGGCCCTTTTGCCATGTGCCTGATGTGCGATTTCATGATGGATTATGGTAACAAAATCCCGTCGTTGCCCTAAGGCCAATGGTGCAGCACTCCATACGAGCGAAAAGAAAAAGCTTTCACGGGTCACGTTCAGCATTAAATCGTGGCCAGCAGCACCTCCCAAATCACATAGTTCCTCAAGCTATTCACCATGACGAGATCTCTGTCGACACAGGATCTGAGAGATTACCTGAAATAGTTCAATGGAGATCAAGTTGGATCAAATCTGTTCCCAAACGAGATCTGCTCTCTCCCTGAAAGCACTTTACTGAGGTCTAAGATCAATGTTTAAGATGGGAAGCCTAGAAGACCTAGAAGATAACGGTGGTTAACAAGAAAAATTGCAAAGGCCCAAGAATCCAGATGGGAGGAACAGCAGGTGTGTGGCTGGGAGATAAAAGACCAAATGGCCAGCGTGAAAACTAGCCAGGCTTGACAAATCCTCTCAGGGAAGAGGCCGGGAGATGTGTAAACAGTGAGATTCACCTGGCTGCCGACACATGGATCCTGCACACACTGTCATGACAGCGCCGTGCCTTTGCTGGGGCACTTTCAACTCCAGAAACGCAGCCACAGGCTGGCACCTGAGTTAAAGATGCAGAAGAACCAGCACTGAAACTCGCAGCTTTCCTGCAATGAAGGGGCAACGCAGTAAACCAAGGGAATTGAAATAACAGCCCGAAGTGACCACCCCTCGTTCCCATCCCCTCCCCCTGCCCCTGCCTGCAGCAGAAACGCTATCAAGGAACATCTCAGTAAGACGTTTACAAGCAGGAGTCATTTGAACCATCGATAAGGGAAATTCCACAGCTTCTCACAGAGGAGGGATTGTTTTACAGCAGGGAACCAGGGCAGCTGGAGGTTTGACCATATAAGTTAATGAGATAGTCAGGAGTGGTAGTGGCGGTCTGATGATGTTAGGCTGATGGCTCTGATGCTTTTACAGGCGGCATTAAATTCCTTGAGTGAGTAATTACGGGTGATGAAGAAAAAGCAAGAGGAAAGATTTCAAAACAACAGCTCCTATCGACAAGTGCTGACTCAAATAATGGGACCAAAGGGGTGGTTCTGGGATGAGGCACGGCTCAGTGGTATGTACAGTCACTGTCTACATGCCTTCCGGTGTTCCCCCCTTGCACACATTCAGGTTCCCATTACTCTCCTCATCCATGACAAAAAGAGCTCAGACACAGGCTGCTATTACAGTGAGAACTAAAGCTACGTTTCCTGATTTGCAAAGCACTGGCAGTTCAAAACATGGAAAAGGTGTGAATCACCTCTTCTTTGGAGACTTACGTATTTCTTCCTAGTGGACACCATAGTTATGGATCCAGTTCCTTCTGCTGAATCATTACAGTAGAATGAATTGGGATATGATTTATTTTAAATCAGTTAGTTCTCAATAGAGTCTACAGATATATAAGGTTTCAGGTTTGCCCAATTTTCAGTACTTGTTTGAAAACTAGACAGGGTAGATCTTCCCTTACTCAAACTTTTGCTGATCTCCTTTCTATTGGAAGCAATCGGTCACTTCTTAAGATAAAAATAAGGTGTGAAAGACCTACAGGGGAGCTGTGCTGTAGATTTGAAAGACATAAGAAATGCAGTTCTCCTGAAAGGGCTTGGAACATTTTCCTTAGCATAACAGTTTAGTGATTAAGCTCAAAACATAGTTAGTCATATGGAATTAAACTGCAAGCTCTGAATGGGAGGTTTACTGAGAGGATTCATAATTAGCTAGTGACTAGAAAACCAAGATTTCTTCCACTGCTGTGTTGATATTTGGTCTCCTTTCCCCTTCCCCTCGTTCTCTCAAGTAATATGAGAAAGCTAAAGGGGAACAACTCCTTTAAGGAGCACATGGGGACGTGTTAAAGGGTTCTGTCCTGCAGATGCCCCCAGACACACATAACTACTGGTAGCCAGGAAAAAACGTGTCTCCCCATTAATGCATAGTCCAAGAATGAACACCCAAGTCCTACTTATAAAATAGGATTCTGACTTGCTACCACAATGACAAACCGACCTGCTATTTCAGGTCATACTAGCTATCAGCAGGGCCTTTAACGAGTGTCAAAGATGGATGCGAACAAGATTAAGGCCTCTCATATACATGTAAGAATTGCACTGGTTTAACTAAAGCTGTGATTTCATACCTATCTACTCAGCTGGGTGCCAACTCCAGTAGAGATGCTCCTCTTTATAAGACTGGGTTATTGCTCTGAACTCAAACTCACTCCTTGTTAACCTAAGCTAAACCAAAATAAATTAAATTATAATTATAGTAACAACTATGTTACCGATTTATCTCACTTAGCTTTAAAATTATACTTTTAAGCTAAATGATGCAATTTTCTCATTTACAAAATGCCTAAGACTATTCTGATGGCAGCTAGTGTTCACAAAGCTATGGCCTGAAAAACTGGCAATGAACAAACCATACAAATTAAAGCTGGAAGCTGACCTGTTGACCACACTTCCTTGACGGGAGAGAGCTCTCTATAAAATAAGAACTTAGGAGACACAGACCTATGATGAGAAACCTCAGCTAAAAAACCCAAGAAATCAACAGATGAAAACAGTTACCTGAAAAAATGCCTTACTCAGCACTTCAGAGTCAGATCAGTGAACAATAAAAATCAAAGTTAAGTAAACAGAAAGTACCAGTATGCCTACCTTGTTTCCCAGCTGATAGATGAAGTGACTAACAGGAACAAAATGGGAAACTTTCCTTTCCTCTCTCTGTTACTTAAGAACATAAGAGACATGGAGATAGGCAGTGAGACCTGAGCTAGCTAGCTGATGCTGGCTGGGCACGAGCCATAAACAGAGCACACTCAGGTTTGGCTTTAGCACTATGAAATTCAGGCTTTCAGCTTTTATGGAAAGAGGGAAAAAAAAGAAAGAAAAAAGAAGCAATAAATGAATGAAAGGCAAGGGCTACCCTTCTGCAACCTCATGGAGAACTAGAGCTGCTTGTATTCAGTGGATCCCCTCTTCTTTGCTCAGTAGACTTGGAAGAGGTCTGATTAGCTGTATCCAAAAGTCACCATCGACTAAGTCAATGGGAATCGGATTCTAAAGTAGAAAGGCAGTGAGAAGATGAATGCAAACATGACTGATTAATCATAGACTGGAAGAACCCAGAAAGCATGTAGTTTTTAGAGGGTTTTTTTTGCTTTTGTTTTCTTTGTAAAAGGTGCACCAGAAGTTTCTATCCCATTTTCTGTCTTTCACATTCCTATCCACTCTCATGGCTCCTTGGACTGACTGGGCTGGGCCACTGGTGTGCTGCTCCGGTGGGGCTAGTGGCCGAGGTCATGACGACTCCTCAAGTGCATTGACGACTTGCTCCAGGATGTCAGGGCAGTGATCCGCTATCTGCTGTAAGATGGCATTGGCAAACTCCTGCAGCTCCGCGCTTTCCTTCTCGCCCTTTTCTAACTCGTCATGAAGCTGCAAGAAACACACAGAGGCATGGTCATTCTCTGTTATTAAACATGTTCACTGTATAACGAGACCTGCCCAGCAGGCTCAGATCTAAGTTAAACCACCACTTTTAGAAAGGGAGCTAGCAGAGGCATAACATGCCGGGCACTTCCAGGATTGGCATCTGCCCTTGGTGACTCCCTCGCCAGAAACTGGATGCTCTCCCCCTTCTTTATTTCACTTTTTCACTACAGGACCAGGCTTGTGACCTTCCCAGTTAAGGCCATGTCAACATGGGAAAACTAACTGGCTTAACTATTCCTGAATAAATTGTTTTACAATAAATATTAGAAAAGCTTCCTCTGTAGGATGTTCTTCTGAAAGCAACTATGTTCCAGAACCAATACAGCATTTTGTTCATACGTTATTTTGAATAGTTTGACTTTTATTCATGAATAACAGGACATTACTTCAGAATTACTTCCTACAACAAATCAATAGAGACGTTACATAATTATACATAACACACTCTGAATTAACCAGAATTCTAATTTTTCTGCGGAATTAATAATTTTCAGAGATTGTGCTTCCTAGCTCAGTCATAAGATGACTATACACAATTGTGGTGGAGCATACATGGGTTTTTGTTTACTAACACTGCATTTCCTGTTGGATCATTCTTTGTTCAGATTAAAATTGGCTCAGAATGACATGGAACTTCAAAACTTTATCTTATTCACTCTGTCTACAGTCTATAAACTGTTTTTCCAACAAGCGGTGTTACAAACCACGCCACACAACATCTTGGGGTATATGTGGACATAATTTTTAGCTCTGAGTCTAATGCCATTGCCAGAATTAGGGGCCCACAGAGTCTTAATGAAGAGCAGAAAACATCTGCCTTCAAGTAATCCGTTTATCTGACCAGCAATTGATAAACTCCACGCTAGCCTGTGAACTGTGCAGAATCCCAAGTAAGGCTGTAATTTGTGCAAGCATTTCAGGGATTACTGTACTCATGATGGTCTAAGGATCTAACAGAACAAGGAGAAGCAGCATCTCTTTCTAGACCAGATTATATAGATAGATTGGATAAGCTTTCAAGCATATAGCTCTTTCACATACTATATATCCAAAAAACTCTTCTCTTTTTTCAGTGATATGATTTCTTCTAATAAAGTATATTCTCTATTAATATGACAACCATATTTGTAACAGGTACATACACTTAGATGGATTCTTAAGTTTATTGCAAGCTTCTGCATCCAAATTTCTTTGTCGTTTTGAGAAGCTGTAGCAACTAGCCTATCTATTTATGAACCACCTTTTAAATTTGTTTTTTTCTAATATTATCTGGCAGTCCCATAACATTTCTTATTCCTAAGTTATTAATATTTTCATTGGAACTCTACTGTGTTCATATGTGACACGGAAAGGATGTCAAATTGGAATTTTTCACCCATGAAGGGATAACTGGTCATCAGTATGCCCGTTTCTTGATCTATATTTTGTACTTCTGTAACACTGCTAATTGTAGGTTTTAAAAAGAGAGAGGTGTCAAGCAGCAGGACAACAGGGATCATTTCACCACCGTAAAAGCACAATGCAGTGGGAAAGATTATATTTCTACAATTAAAATTCTAATCAGATACAACACTACATGTCTTGTTTATTGATGGTATCAAGCAAAGGAGATTGTTACTGCAAGAAATACTGCCTAAAACCAAACAGCCTAAGAACGACTGTAGAATAAATACAAATGCTTTTTAAGAAAGTTATGGTATAGACTTCTACACACAAAAGTGAGAGAAAGGAAATTAAAAGGGTAAGCCTGCTACACTATTCCCTTTACTAGGCAGGGTAGCATATAGTAAATTATTTGGGCTTCGCGTGCTGAATGTTAGTTTAATGTGTTCTTATGTGCTTTGTTCCTACTGGCTGCTGTACTCACAGAACAGCTATACGAATCCGAGAGGGGCTCATGCCAAGAATCACAATGCAAAAGCAACCTGATCCTGCTCCGTGGAGTGACATGAGCCGGGGAAGTGGGGAAAATGAGAGGGAGGGGAGCACTCCGGGCTCTGTAAGGGCTCTCGGGGGAGAAGGGGAGGAGGGGGGGAATTCAGCAGTAACCCATAATGGCTCAGAAACGGCATGCTGCGGATAGGCGATTAGCCTGGTTCCAAGAGCCTGGCAGAGTTATTAGTCGGAAACTTGCAATGGATGGATAAGCCTAGGAGAGGTCCAGTCAGCAAGCAGGATTGAAAGAGTCGGCACAGCCAGCTAGGAGCAGTGCTGGATATTAAAAGCCAGGAGTCTGGGTTTCAGGGACTACCTCTGAGTCTCAGGTTGCTCAGCCTAGTGAAACCCCAGCCATTCAGGCAGCCCCAGTTACAGCAGCCTGCAAACCACCTAACCGCTGGTAAATTCACAGGACTGGTTTGAACGTTGAATTCTGAGACAGGGCTGCTTTGGCTTCTCGGGCCAGCGCAAAGATTTCACAGTGCCATTCATCAGAAGGGTGGGAGGTCGTGGAGGTCGGGAGAGACAGCAAGCAACGGGAGAAGAAGCCAACGATGTAATTCTCCTTTTCTTCATCCGGCTCCTCCAAGGGGCCTCGGCTCTTGGTCCGCAGGAGGAGAACCAGGAGAGGGCAGTGTTAGCAGGGAAAGCAGGGGCCGGCTCCCTGCGGGTCCTGCACCACCACCTGCCCAGCCAGCATCCCTCCTCCGGGCGTTTCAGCCAAATCTTCCAGGTGAAACTCCAGGAAAGGACAAAGCAATTAAATAATCAAATATAAAAGCACCTCAAAGAGATAAACCTTCAAAACTGAAAGGAGGTTGGTGGAAAGGGAGAATCCTGCAGGATGTTGTCTTCAGCGGGGCAGTACTGCAAAGTCAGTGACGTCTCAGTTTCTTGCTGTACTAGTCAGCATTTATGTATTTATAAGATTCCTTCAAAAACCAAGGTAAGCCCAACAAAATAAGCGCATGCCAAAGCTAAAATAAATCAAATGCAATCAAACAAAAGTAACCAACTTAACCAGATGAAGAAGAAAATATTTCCAAGAAATAAGTCTTTGACCATCAAGAGCCCAAAAGGAGACAGCTCTGAATACTGAAGGCCAGCAATAATACTTTGCAAATTAGCGCAGACAGAAAGTCTACACAGCTGGCTGGCAGATGTCTGTGATGAAACGTCTTCGAAAAAAGTAGCAATGATAGCCTTGCGTTGAGTTTGCTAGCTTCAGAACATCTAGGTTTAATAATGTGACTTCTACTTAAACAAAGACATCTTAATTGACTATGTGGCTGGTTGCAGCATTTCTATATCATGTATGTCATCTCCGTTTACATCATTCCTTTCAGAAACAGCTGTGAGCAGCATACGTCACTCCTCATTCAGACAAACTCCTTAATGGGGAACATCCAGTTCTCTGTGGTATAACTTGATTCACCTAGATGTTCGGCAGTCCAAATTTTAGGGAAGTTTCTCTAAAAGTATTACTATCAATTCTGCTCCTGGTTTCCTAGCTTTTCTTCTTGTGAATGTCAACAGAAATGGTGTTATCTTCCCCATGCCATTTTTCTATGAAAATAAAGGAGTGTTAACAGTCCTTTTTTGTTGGCGTTTTCAGCTGAGGATATGAAGAGATTCATACACTTGCCTCATGGAAATGACCGAAAAAGAGAAGGCAGGGCCAGATATGTTTGCCTAGTTGATGACAAGTAAAAATAGACAGCTCAGAAAGAAGAGGATAGCAAGGACCCCAGAAGTGCTTCATAGTATTTATCTTTGGATTGAAGCACAGAAAGGACCTTCAGCATCTCAGGGGAATGGAAGCTTAAAGATAATCTGCAACAGATTCAGACACTTTTCACCACTGCTGCCTTCCTTCCTGGGTTTAGAGCAAGTCATGATAGGAATACTTTTCCATTTATAGTTCAACTCCATCAGTGAAAACAATCGCAAACAATTCACCACGAATTTAGCTTGCATTGTGCGTCTCTGGTCCAAGATATCCCAGAACTCATTTAAAGATTAATTGATATTCAGAGGGAAGATAGTTTCATAGTTAAGAAATAGGATGCTATGGTTCTATATGCACACCAGGTGAATTGTAGTGCTGCTCTGCAGAACCTTCGTGGCCTTTGCTTATCCCATAATGTAAACAAGGCAACGTTAAGCTAAGATCCTTTAAAATTTATTTATATGGAGGAGGCTTACTCCCCAAAGTGTTATTTTCCTCTTGTTAACAATTGCACAAAAAAACTGATGAAAAAAGGCAAACAAAAATAAAGTAGTATCTCATCTCAGGCTATGGACAGTGAAACTGAATACAGAATATGGGGTGCTTGTAAAGCAGCATAAAAAGAAAGCTAACTGCAGGACTTCTGTAGGCTACAACACCGGGATCTGGAATTATGTTTCTCCAAAGTTTAGGTGTTACTGGATCAGGCTATGGTTAGTCTGAAAAATACATTTAGAGCTTAAAGTAACAGCAATAACCTTTGTTTTATCTCAAAATAAGTTAAACTACACTGTATCTCAGGCAAATGATCAAGAGCTTTTGCATCTTCCCAGACCAACCAGTATAAATATGTATGTTTGGAATAGTGAGAGCCAATTACATACAAACCTTTATTTCTCAACTATAGACCTATAAAAGGGCCAAAAGAAAGGGTTAGGAATATGGAAATCACAGTCCGCCAAACTTTGGAAAAAAAAAAAAAGAAGAAATTTTTTATGTAGACCCTTAAATATTTTTGCTTTATCTGGAAATTTTGTTTTATGTTAGCTTTTTCAAAATATTTAAAACACATGCATTTATTAAAGTAAGATTTCAAATTAAACATTCTGTCTTGTCTTTTAAAATCATGTAAACTTTAAAAATATGTTTTAAATATATTTAAATACATTTGAAGAGATTTTACAATCCATTTTGACAAAAAACCCTGAGAAAATTTGTTGAGGGCTCTTGCACTATATATTTGAAATAACTGCACATGGGATTTTTATCCCACATT